GTTTAAATGCAATAATTTTAACGAGCGAATTCGTTCGTTCGTTTGTGTTCGCTTTGATTTAAGGCGCGTACACACTGGCGAACGCATGTGACCGAAGCCCTTTGACCGAATTCTTTCGATATTTTTGGCGTTCGATGGAAAATTTGGTCTTTTGTCGACATTACAGCGAACCAATTCGTGTGCAGTCTTTCGTTTAGTTTCGCGGGTATTTTTGGGGATTTGTGGCGTGGCAATTATGTCAATTGTAAAAATGACATCGGATAAGGATGTAATTATTGCAAGTGCATTTTATATTATTGTTAGTGAGGCGGGGGCTGAAGAAGTGAAAGACCTCCCCAAAAAACGACGAAAACGGCACTGGTGGACAACATAATTGTTCAAAAGCAGTAGTCGGTATAGAAGGATATACTTATTTAATGATCTAAAAGCTGAAATGGAATATGGCCTTTTGCAATTTTTTTATAATGAAGTCTACTGATTTTGAATGGTTATTAAAAGAAATTGGTCCAAAAATCGCGAAAGAAGATACAAAGTTTAGAGAAGCGATACCACCAACAAATAGGTTAATGTTGACCCTACGATATTTAGCTAGTATTGACTCATATTCAAGTTGTATACACTGGATTTCAAAAAACTTCCCACTCTCGATATAAACCAACAAGTTTTAAACAAGAAGAATTAGTCTACTTCATTATTGCAAATTATATAATCAAAATAAAATCGCTACAATAATCTACATCTTCACTTGAAAGCGTACACACGAAACACAGCCAAAAGAATTCCTTCTTCAATTTTCTTTTCAAGTACCATCCAGTGAGCGAACTCTAACAACGATTTGCTATTGTTTGTTGAGGCGTACACATTTACCGAAGGCGCTTGGTCGCAAGGCTTCAGCTATATACGTTCGCCAAATGTGTATGCACCTTTAAATACACCTTTAGAAGTATGTTCTAAAAGTATCGTGAATAGCTTTGGAGAGACGGTGTCTCCATATTTCCCGCTGTATACACAATATAATTTGTTTCTTGTTCGGATAGTCCCTCGCTAGCCTTGGTTAGTTTGGTAGAGTCGTTGAATTGTTGCGATGGTTTATTCGACATTCTGTCAAAATGCTTTTAGCATTTTCTGTTGGCTTATAGTATAGTATAGTATAGTATAGTATAGTATAGTATAGTATAGTATAATATAGTATAGTATAGTATAGTATAGTATAGTATAGTATAGTATAGTATAGTATAGTATAGTATAGTATAGTATAGTATAGTATAGTATAGTATAGTATAGTATAGTATAGTATAGTATAGTATAGTATAGTATAGTATAGTATAGTATAGTATAGTATAGTATAGTATAGTATAGTATAGTATTATCAAAACAAATTTAATCATGTGGTGACTAGACCAAAAAATTATATCAGTCTAGATTGATTTAAAGAAAAAGTAGGTAAGCAAAAAATTACACACGAGAAAAATATAGAATTTGTAAAAATTTAAAACAATATCAAAATTCAAGCAGATCTAAAGAACAAAGCCCACAACCTATACCGATATACCTTTAAAAATGTATCTTGTAACTATGTCTCCTAACAGCTAACAGCTTCTGTTATCTATTTAATGAAAAAAATTATAAGATTTTAGACTTTTTTCAGTTAAAAAAACACATTATAGTCCGACAAAGCCAGATAAAAAAGCGAAAAGCTCTCATTTGTCCAGAGAAATATTTTCATGAGATTTTTTTTTATAATCTCTTTCATGAGATACACCGAAATAAGGTGTAAGAGGACCCTCAGGCGAAAAGTTGTTCAAAAGTTTTTAAACAGTTTTTTAAAAACACAAGTAAACAATATTGTTTTAAAATATTCAAGATCCTAAATTCAATTTGAAGGCTTCTTTTATCAGCTCCCGATGAAAATACTGGACTTATTTGATTTTAAAACATTATTTTTTAATTGTTAATAAAGCGTGTATGGTAGGGCAGGAGCTCATTTGTACAATGAGAATTCGAACCAGCAATTTGTTCCATAGATCTGGTTGTTCTCTGTCCTGTCATAAGCGTTTCATTACCGATTAAAAAACAATGGTTTAAAATTAAATAAGTCCAAAATACTTATCGGAAAATGATAGAACCGGGTTTGAACTTGAGTTTAGGTTCTTTTTTTACTTGTGTTTCTAAGTCTTCAAAAATTGTTAAGTCTTCAAACTCGAAAAGTATTAATCTTACAAAAAAATTAAAAGAGACCTATTTTGTTCGGAATGATTCAAAATTAAAAAAAAATTGTGCGTACCGAAAAAACTGATTGTTAGAATTTATTTAAAAAATTTAAGCAAATTTTCGCCTAGGTGACCTATTGCACCTTATTTTGCGTATCTTATGAAATGAATATGCAGAAAATCCTATGGTAACATTTTTTAGAACGATTTCTAGCTTTTCGCCTTGTCTACGGGAAAACGCCCACCAAACTGGCATGGAAAGTGGCAAGTATCAAGTAGAACGCGTCTAGAATGTTATTTAAAATGTAAATAATGCAAGCGAATGATGTCACTGTCATTTTGGTGTGCGCTGAATAATTCGTTGTCATTGGTTATATTTTAAGTAACATGCTAGACGCGTGCTACTTGCTACTTGCCTCTTGCCATGCCTCTCCCTTAAGATCTTCTTAATATGGCGAGTGTTCTAATAAGTAATTCAAGCCTTAAATCTCGAATTATTTGTACTTGAAGAAGCAAATTTATCAAATACAGTTTTTAAATACCTTTATCAAAGAATGTCTCCACAACGGCTTTTTATTTGCTAGTTTTTCTGGTCTAAATCGTTAGTGTTTGTGCAACCAGTTATAAGTCAACGAATTAACGTTTTAAGAACAATGGAGATTAAGATAGCGTTGCTATTTAAACTTAAGCTTAACAAATTATGTTAATTACCGAAATTTTAATTTCTGGGATTGATTGTTATTTATAGAACACCTCCAATTGCCAACTTTATTTATTTGATGCAACAATGATTTTCGAAAATAAATACACTTATGTCCATTAACACAACAAAATAAATCTACTTATCGCTTATCCACCATAATATAAATGACGATAGACCTGAGTTTTACTCTATCTACTGTTTCAAAAATAAAAACCAATTTTATTTATATAAAACTAATTTTATTTATAATAACCTACCACAAAAACATATATCCTAGCTATATAATACTAGTTTGAAAAAAAGATAAAAGTTCTTATTACAAACTATCAATCTACATCCAAATCATCTTCGACAGAATCAGGATACACGTCACTTACATCACTTTCGCATTGCAATCTTTTCTAGAAGTCATGAAAAATTTCAGAAATATAAGATAGTAATTCTATTAAGTTTCATTTTTTAAGAAACCACAGTCCTCTTTGTTGTATCGTCTACTTTATATTTCTTTTAAATAAATTTTTCGCCTTCTTCGTTCACTTTATTTTGCTGTAAAGAAGTTTTAAACAGCGAAGCATAATCATAAAAGTCTTTCTTTTTCATTTCTTTTACAACAAATGGTTTCCCCTTTATTGTTTGTCTCACTAGTTACATCTAGTCATAGGGATGATTTATTGAGCTTCCATATTTGTTTCTAGATCTCTTTGTTATGGAATGGTCAGTGTCACATTCCATATGTGTAGGTCCCGCGATAAGGAACTTATGGCCAATGGTTTTCAAATGTCGCCTGATTTTTACTATCGTAAACACGTTACCATAACGTATATATTTTTATTTTAACCCCCACACGTATCTAAGTACAATATAACGTGGGTAATATGCGTAAGAAGATCAACAAGGTGCTTATACAACCAAGAACCAATTTGATTTGCACCTCTTCTGGAAATTACTTCGTGCCACATATGATTAAAAGATTGTCTGGTAATACGATAATCGACAGTAAGATTAAAGGTCCACAGTTGTCTTTTATAAAAAGCAACGGATGTAACTAGATTAGGTGTTGGGAGACACTGCTACATATCAAAGTTGTACACGTTTGTAGAGGTGTTGTCCTTATTGTTTATTTTGTCGTTTGCTTTCTTATTGTATGTGTAGTCCTCTTCGGCTTAATTAATTCGGTTTACATAATTCGTCTTTGTTTTCAGCATTTGCTTTAATTTTTATATGCGGTTGGTCACATTTTTGACATGAATCCTTTTTTGGTGCCTTTATAGCTATTTTCATGCTGTAAAAAATGTTCTCGTAAACCTTTCTACTTACAGGTTGGTGTTTGGACTATTGTTTAAGATATTTTTCATAAATATTTACAACTGTATAGTGCGGTGGAGGATACTGTTTGCTTGTTTGGTTTCTGCAGTTGTGACTTTCGTATGCTGGCAAATACAAAATGTAATATTTAACAGCTTGAGCAACTTCATCAGATAATTTATGCCATAGCTTATGGGATCCTCTATTGTCGTCGTGTGTTATTCCAGAACTAGAAGCGCCCTTTTGGAGTAAAATGTTGGTACTAAATTTACTGCTTTCACCAAAAGTATTTTGAGAACACGACTTACATGTTGGTATTAAATTACCATTAATCTGAAGATGACATTGATAGATTAACAAACTAAATTTTTATTTAGATTCATCAGCAACTTTTTGTTTTGATGTTTTCTTTTTAACGATGTTTACAAGATTAGCTAAATACGCAATTCTCTTATTAAGGTTGTCCGTGGCCCAATATAAAGTGTGTCTTGAAACATCATTAAACTTTTCCCGGCATTTCATGTTCCAATTCGTTAGTGGTTTGCACTGACTGTCTCGTTTCAACTTCTTTGCCTTTTCGAGTTTTGTAGCTTTGGCCTAAGTTTCTTTTCGATTTATTTTCTAACCTTAGTTTTCTTGTGTCACCTTTTATAATTTTTTTTTTGCTATTTTTTATACGATTATTTTTACTTAGTTTCACTGGTGTTATGTGTACTGTGTTTTCTAAATTTACGTGATACACCATCATATTTAATTTGCTTTCATTTTCCGGTAGGCTTTTTTCATCTTAAAATGTCATCTTTATTCGATAATAAAACATCAGAATCTTCCTCCGGATCGTAGGAACGATCAATATCACTACCATCATCAAGACCATATAGTATATCAGATAAAATCTCAGAAATAGATGGAGGTGCATTTGAACCTAAAACCAAAGTTAATAATTTTTTCTTAAAATCAACAAACGAGAACTTACCACTGCCTAGTTTACTATTAGTCTGACTATTTTCTGGCTCTGGCTGTTCATCTGCTTTTTCCTAATATTGATAAGATTTTTTTTTTACTAATAATAGTTGCTTCAACCACCTGGGTCATTAGCGACATTAGTTTACATTAGTTAGTACATTATATTAAATTGTATAAGGATGTTTCTTTTAGAAATCTAATTAAGTTTTTAGTATTTAAATGTTCACCTAATACTGTTTTTAAGTCACTGGAAATATTGTTATTTTGTCTGTTAACTGTATATTTTCCACATTCTGTTAGGAGATGTTTAACAGTAATATTGATTGATAAGATTTGGAATCGGAATCTACGTGTTATTGTAGTTAATAATAATATTAAAACACATTTTAATAATAATAACTTACCTGTATTATTTGATTGTATATTCTCACACATTTTCTGAATTTTATTAGCTTGGAAATACTTCATTTTACTGTTAAATCCGTTTTAAAATTTGTTTCAAATACGTGCTTAACACTTATTTTGAGGTTAGAACGCCACGTAACAACAAATATAAGTTAACTGAATAGTGGTGTCAAGAGACAAAAATTGAATTATCAATAATCGCACGAAATGCGCTAGTGGTGCTATTGGATATAAGTCAAGTTATACTCCTTTGCATGTAATCAATAATACAATTTTGATTTAGAGTCATTGGGCACCTACTCATATCTAGATAATGGTGTTATTATTGACTTTTGTCTCTTTGCGCCACCACAGATGAACTTGTTTTTTACAGTTTAGTGTACTTTTCTTATTTTTCACCAAAAAATGTATACTGGTACCCCTTTGCATGCGTACCAACATATTGTGTATAATAATTTAATAATATATCCTATATATTAACTAGAAAAAATATGACATACTAACGATAATATTGTAGTACCACTTAAGATATTTTACGTTTTATTCACGTATTGTTGATAATACGGAGATTTTTGCTTTTTTTAAATTGTTTCTAATAAGCTTGGCTTTTGGTAAGGAAATTTACACGAAAAATGTAAAAAAAATGTTTTCTTCTATAAAAACTAATTTTAAACAAAAAAGAAGCAACTCTAATATTATGACATTATCCTTTTCTTTGAAAGTCACTTAATGGCATCTGGTAAGGTTGCTAAAATATCCAAAAAAACAAACGTCATGTAAACATAATGAGACTCATAATTAAAAAATGCATAAAATAATAGCAAAGAATTTGTTTAAACCGAATGATTTACTTGCACACTGACCGAAAGGTGGTTACTGATATATGAACATTAGGGTGTCCCGTCTTTGCATAAATATTTTTTTTTTGAGCTACACTGTCGCAAGAGGTATCCCAATTTGCGTTATTTTCTAGTGATTATGAAAAATGTAAAATAAATACGATATCATGTTACCTTCAGGGCTCTACTAGACTTTAAAATTTTGTAAATTTTACGTTTGTACAGACCTAAATTATATACTTCAAATAATACACAAATTAAATTTAAAAGATATTTTATTATTAAAATTAATGAAAAACAACTTAACAAATAAAATAGATCTTATATTTAAAGACAAAAACTTAAAATTTAAAATTATTTTTGTGTCCAAAATTTGGTAGTTCTTCCCGAGACTCCAAGTTGGTTTTGATAAAGCTATCTCTAGAAGTAGCATCAGGTACATTCTGGAAGGCTACATTCTACATCAGTTTAACACATCTTTTAACAGATTGTGTTTGACAGGGAAAGTAAAAAATATCCAAGCTTTTATCTTTAACCATGATATGCCGAAGAACCGGCGGTGTTGTAACCTGACAATCCTGACATTCGTGCCACATAATCTTTAGCAGAAAAAGAACATCTTTTTGGTGTTTTAAATATTCTGCGTTTATCGCTACTTTCCGTGTCTCTAGCTTTTTTTATTCTTCACCATGCCAGCTCCCTAATGTGATCTCTATCATCAAACAACATAGTCACAAGTAAGTTTTCTCGGTGGATAAAAGAGGCATTGCTGTACATACATAGATCCACAACAGATCTTAGATTTTCGGGTAGAAATCGAAAGTACATAATTAGTTAAAAAATATGCTTCGCTCCATCCTTAAAAGTCGCCTTTTGCTTAATTCTGAACCACATCGGACCATATACTTTAACAACATAGTTTACAATCAATTGTAAATTTTCTGATGGATTAAGCGTACTTACATAAAGTCTGAGTAGACGATTAGCAGTAGTAAGCCATCTGGAATGCGCCATTTTTCCAGCTTGACGGTTTGCCAATTCAGGAGTACAGAAACCGGTTAATACTGCTTGACATATTTCATACAGATATTTTTGATCTGTACTTAATTCATTGACCACATTTTTTGGTAAGTCAGGCAAATTATCAATCACAGCAGAAAAAGTTAATGTGGGTTTGTTTTCATAAGCAACTAACTGTTTTTCAATAGGTCCGGAGTATTCTGTAGGATTCGAAGTCGAACCATCTATGATCAGGAATAAATGACGAAATGGTAACTCATTGGCATGAAGCAAACAAACGCACCATTGTAATGATATCTTTAAATACTCCTCTAAATAATGAATCACACCACCCTTCTAGCCAATTTTAGTTGCAGTTCCATCACATCTAACGCAAATTACATCATCTAATTTCCAACTTTGACCCTAAAAAAAAACTTGTGGTCGAAGTAAAAATTCTATTTGGGGTGCCACAACTAGGCCTTGTATGTCCCAAATAAATTGATCCGGATTCTGATAACAATGAGATGTGTTCTTCCAAAAATCTCTTTGCGATGGTAACGATTCCCTATTTTCTCATTTATCAGGGTATTTTGTCCTTTCGTCCATCAAAGTAAATGCTATTTACAACAGTACCTGCAACATCTTTTGAAGCATCTCTTCGGGCTTTACATACAGCTCTGTGGATTTTATTTTTATCAATAACCAGTGACAGATCTTCGGTAGAAACCAAACCTACGTCAACCAAAACGGCAGAAGCAACGGCAGCTGCAGATCGCACCGATAAATCGTATCTATCACTGACTTTAGCAACTGTTGACAACCGCAACGTATTTCTATTAAATGTGTAAAAGTTGATGGGGTCTTTGTTGAGAAAGAGTCAGGCACTGCTTCTTCATCACAATTTACTGATATAGAATCGGTCGTTTGAGTAGCACACAACTTTTTGTTGCCCTCATTGATTTTTCTATTTTTCTTTGCTGTCGTTTCATGAATGGCAGTTTCTTTCTTATCAACACCGCCTATCACCATTTTCCTGTCCAACAGAAAATCTCTATCATTGATGGGAACTTTTTTATGTTTTAAACATGAACAAGATTCAATAGAAATACATTTACAAGCAGCAACGTCGAAAAGCTTTTCAGCTGACTCTACAAAATACTTTACTTTGTTCTCAAAACTGTTATTTAGTTTGCTTTTGGGATGTCTTTTTAAACTGAAGTATTTTTCGTAATAATATTTAACTGAAAAACTGAATAATCCGTTCCTTAGTTACGATTGGAATCGAAGCTTTTGTCCAAATAATAATAACTTTCTTAGAATGGCATATATTTCTGAATTGGATGGATGCTTGTATTTTAGATCGTTCTTCACAAATAAAATACATTTCATAACATCTCTTATAGTTGTTAGCTGTCGATCGTCAAGTTCTATCTAAGGTCCCATTATAGAACAAGTAGTCTCACTACGCCTAGAACTTATGATTTAACTCACAAAATCAGCTTTGGACACTAGAACAAACGCAACTGTAATAATATTGAACGTCAAACGACGTGTCGACCACCCCAAGCCACCTTCCCCTTCTACTCGTCTTTCTCCTACCATCAAAGCAGAACTGACGTGCCCAAAGTTTACAGAATTCTCTAAACGAAACTTTTGGAACGATTATACGACGCGCTATTATACAATAGTACAGTACAATCTCAATTTATTAAAGTTTAGGAGCCGAAAAAATATTATCACAAAAATGACAATTTTTCCAAACTTTGAAGATCGGTAGAACCCTTAAGATATATTTTATTTTATTTTTAAAAATACTGTGATAATCTATTGGCAATTACATAAATTTTAAGAGGTCTTGCATTAAATAATGTTTTATATTTAGTTCAGGATGCGAAATTAAGTATAGTAACATATTACCATAAAAATGACAATTTTTTAAAACTTTAAAGTTCGGTAGAGATAAGTTCCTAAAGATATATTGTTATAATTTTTTTTAATTATTGGGATAATTAACGAGCAATTACCCTAATTTCAAGAGGTCTCGTATTAAACAAAAACAAAAAGCGAATTTTCGGGACACCCTAATGAACATCATTGTGTGTCTCTGAGCTTCACACCAAATGATAAAATAGTTGAAGTACCTCTATCATCCAGATACAAATTTCTGTAATTCGTTTTCGAGAAGGCAGCATATTACGCACTAGAAGGAAATGATACTTTGTTCCTTTTTTCTAAAAGTTTCTACTCAGGTCACTCTAGGACACGGCGGTTATGTCTTCTAGTGCATATAATATGCGCTTCATAAATCTTACTCTTAGAAAAAAGTTTGTATCTATTATTAAAAAAATGTTACTTTTATTTAAAAAAAAAGGTTGAAAACATTAATCCAAATAACTCTTTTATATCTTATACGAATTTAGAAACTTCCTCATCGATATTTATAAACTTTTAAGATATCTTAAATCTTAGTTAGATATATGGGAGATTCTATAGTTCCCAGGATAAATACACTATAGGGACATTCTGTAACGCTCCTGCAAATTCGTCGTGTAGCGTTTCCCCCAAACCGCATAGACTTTCCTTAACACAAATACAAACATTCGCCATTGGATTTCCTTAAAATGAAAATAAATGAAAATGGCGTTCTCCCAAAGCTGTTTAGAAGTCTACGAATAAATGAAAATGAGAATGGATGATGTAAAGAGATAAAGTTATGTTAAATGTTGGAATTTTCGATTTACTTAGTTAGGAAATTGTATCTGTACAATAAATGAGTCCACAAGTATATAACTTACAATTCATTGATTATATTTGTAATGAAAAGATTAAAAGTATTTGTGTTTATAATTCTTATATCTTTATGATATAAATATGTAATAAAAATTGAAACCAGTTTCTTTGTTAAAATCTAATTTGTTACATGTTAATTCATCAACTAGTTCTTAGGTATCACTTCTTTATTAGCAGCGTTTTTTTTAACTTCTGAAAAAATCACTTCGGACAACATTTGGACTTTAATTATGATGGGTTAGCTTTCCCATTTGCAACGTTGTTCTTCTTTAGGTTCTTCTGTAGAAGATTAAAAATCATTAATGATGTTAAACTTTAATAATTGTTGCATTACGAGCTCTAATATTGATACGCACAACATGTCGTCAATGTATATGTTTATAAAATATGGTCACAATATAAACTAACTAAAGTGTGGCCCGATTCTAACGCATCGGGATTCTAGAACGTGTAATGTTCTATTAAAATGATTTTGCTTTGTTACACTAAAAATAGTGTATGCAAATTTATGTAGATATTAAAATGCATATAAAAATGCAAAAACGTTTGAAGACGCACAAACATCGAGCAAAAAGACAAAAGAGGGAATGTAAAGTTAGTGGGACAAAAATATTGTTAGACAGGAAGTGCTATCTTAAGAGGCCACTTTAAACAAAGAAAGACAGTTTCTGTCCTTGTTTAAGAAATCAAATTTAGTTTGTTTATGTTATTGTTTGTCCCATGAAACTGTCACATGAAATTTTATTTATATTGAAGTTTTTTACCAATTGTGTCACATTTTAGACTATTATCGTTAATATTTTAATAAAACTTTCTCGTCAGAAACATATTTTATAGCTATTGTTAATAAGTGTCGAAAAATTTAAATTAAGCGCCTTTGCATTTCCGGATATATCCGCCATCAGAGGCCACTTTTTTGGTCTCCTTTTCATAACGATTAGATTCCCCCTTTTGTCTTTTTGCTCGATGCGCACAAAACAGTACACTACAAATAAAATATAGTTCATTTGCCACTTAGTAACAAATCGACGAACAAATCGACACCTGCTACAGAGAGATAGTCGTAGTTTTGTGGATAGCTGGCGCTTTGGTTTCCGCTACGGAGAGATATAGACAGCTACACGGACAGAATAAAAAAATTATATAATAAAGAATAAATTAAGATAGAAAAATCAATCAATACATTATATTTATTGATTTTTCTATTTTAATATATTCTTTATTTTCTCACTTTCATTTGCTATGTCGCATGTTAGGATTCGATCAATTATTTATTTTGTACCCAGTCAGAGTTCTTCTTTATTATTTATACTGTCATGTGAAATCTCGTATATCGCTATACGTCCATTAATAACGCAGATAAGGTATAGTGCCCTTTTGATAGCCACCTTGTTTGTTTTTTCTCTTAATATATTCGTTATATTCTCTTTCGCTTGATATGTTATATGCTTTGATTAGTTGTTATTATTGTACATAGCCAGAGGCCTTCAAGTTAACAAATCAAAATTTATCTTATAGCAAATCAATTTTTATGTATAGTGCTATATGATATCTTGTATGTAATTATACGTTGATTAATAATAAAGATAATGTGTACTTCTCTTTTTGGTAGTCGCCTTATTTGTTTTTTCTATCTTAATATAACAGTTATATACACCCCTTTCATTTATAATGTCGCATGTTAGGATTTGATCAGTTGTATGTTTTGTATTCAGCCAGAGGCCTTCTTTAAGTTAATAAATCAGAATTTGTCTTATTTTTTTTTGTTTAATAAAACTCCAACAGGAATTTTATGACTATTGCTATCTGATCATTCACTATGATCAATAAGCAACTAGTTCTATATATATATTATATAAATATTACAAGAAACTTATCTAAGGTTATATTCAGCAATGTTCCTTAGGCTCTAATACATTATAGTACTACTAGCCAACGTGTACACTTTAGCCGCACTTTACTCTGCTTTTTCACTTTCACTCACTTATAGCACTAAATCAAACGGTTTCGTTCTCTTTAGTCTTCTTATCTGGTTGGCGTTGTCTAGGAGTTTGATGGCCTCGACGTTCACGTGGTTGGAGAACCTTTGTTCATCTCTCGGCAAACTTACTTATTGTCTGGATAACTGGAGGTCTCGATGAAGATCACAGTTTCTAAAGTACCATGGAGCGTTAACGATGTTCCTTAATACTTTATTCTGATATCGTTGTATATGTTGGATGTTGCTTTCTTTTGTACAGCCCCATAGCTGTATTCCGTATGTCCATATCGGTTTAAGGACTTGCTTATATAATAGCAATTTGTTGTAAATAGACAGAGTGGATTTTTTTCCCATCAACCAGTACATCTTTCTGAACTTAATTTCTAATTCCTTCTTTTTTTCTTAACATGTGCTTTCTAACGTAGCTTGGAATCTAACGTCATACCCAAATATTTTGCCGTATTTGCATAAGGTATTTGGTTTCTATTTATATGTACTGAGATATGTTGTTCTCTTTTGTTAGTAAAATTGACATGAACAGATTTTGTTTCATTCAATTTGATGCGTCATCGGCTGGTCCAGATGTTAATTTGTTCAACAGAGTTCTGTAGCATGGTAGCTGCATCCTCGTGGTTTTGTCCGACTGCTTGAATGCATGTGTCGTCTGCAAATGTCGCAATTGTGTTAGGTTCTAATGATGGAATATCGCCGGTATAGAGCAGGTATAGCACTGGCCCCAGGAGACTTCCTTGTGGAACTCCAGCTTTAACTTCCCTTAATTCTGAATATGCTTCCTCATATTTAACTCGAAAGTATTTGTCAGATATATATGATTCTAGTAGTTCAGAATATTGTTTTGGTAAGTAGCATCTCATTTTATGATATAGTCCGTCATGCTACACCTTGTCAAAAGCCTGCGCTACATCGAGGAAAATTGCGTAACAAACTTTTCCTTCTTCTAGAGCTTTTTCTATGATATCTGTTATTCTATACACCTGATCTATCGTTGAGTGGCTTGCTCTAAACCCAAACTGATAATTAGGAATTAGATTTTT